TATTATTATATATATATATATATATATATATATATATATATTCTTAAATTATCATCACATTATCAACCTTTAAGAAATATTATATTTCTTAAGGGAAACACAAATCAGACCCTTTTAATCGAATATTTCAAAGCCTAAATTCTGGTTATTTAAGATTGCACTTATAATATATGCGTTTCACTTGAAAATAATTTTTTAATATCTACCAGGTTACCGTAAAATATAAGAAAAATTATTCGACTATTTTTTCGTATAGAGAACTTCTTGGATGTGAAAAATATTAATTATTGGGCCTAAAGCTTTTTAACTAGTTATTAATCTAGTATGGACATTAAAAAAAACATACTAAAAGATGTAGATATGCATTTTCCTAAATGTTTTTTTTTTGTATAATAAAACGATATATGGGAAAAAAAATTTCCAAAAAAATATAATCTAACCACATTGACAAATAAGAATAGTTGTAAATCAATTTTGGATAATAATAAAATTTCCACAATCGGCTCTATTTATTAAGGTATATATCAGAACAGGAATGAATATCAGAATACCAAGAATAACAAATCCGAATAAAATTAAAAATTTTACCGAACAGTATGGTAAACAGTCCAACATCGATCAACACCATTGACACGTTAATATCGAGATAAAATATTCTTACATTCAGTTCAGACTCTCACAAAAGAAATAGTCAGTGAGTAAAATTAAGCGAATATAATTTTTACTCGTCTTCTTTCTTTCATTTTAAAATTCGCTTTTGAATTAATAATAAAAGAGGAAAGAGCAATAGCATAATATGGAAAAACAATAGGAAGTTTTTAATAATTCTTAATTTTTTTCTTTTAATTAAATCAAACACAGTTGATAAATAACTAAAATAGCATATATACAAATATATATATATATATATTTATATACCCCACAAAATTCCTATATTTCAATTATTTTATTGCTTTTTTTTTGAATCACTACCCAAGCTAAGAGACGAAGGTTTGTTTGACTGAACTTCCTTTCTTATGTGATTTGCAGGCAGTCTCGAATAATTTATGACACGCTTCTGTCGTACCACATCTCTCCTAATTGCATCTAGGTCAAAAGCACTATAATGACCCTTGCGGTAATCGCTCTGCGCTTTTTGTAAGGACCTTTCGCGAAAGGGGGCCCTAACGAAAAAGTTAAACTTGTAGCCTGTCAAGCGGCCATCACTACGACCTTTTCTCTTCAAATGAGCCCCTCTGGCGCCAACTGTGAAAAAATTCTTAAATGACATTACACTAAGTAAATAAATAAAATTATTAATAAACTAATGAACCTTTATACTTTTTTAAAAAATAAATAATAATAGAAGAAAAACAAAGAAACACTAATTTGTACGGAATATGTAAAGAAATAATAACAAATGAGCTAAAATAGGTTCAACTTTCAAAACCTCCTTTCAAGATAGTTAAAAACAAATACCCGCGCATAAAAAATATTTTCAAAATTACGCGAGCTACAGTGCAACAACAACAAACACATTTCCAATGCGAAACAGCATAAGGAAATCAGCCAGTTGGCCCGACAAGCCCGCAAGTACGTCAGATCCGCCCAAGGCGCCGATCAGCGCACGCGGGTCCATGCCGGAAAGAAGCAGAATATTACCTGGTGTCAGAAGAGGGCATGCCAAGTAAACGACGTAAAACGGCGCCGAGGCCACCCCCCTGATGAAAATATTCCGGTATGCGGTGGTGGGCTGGTTCCCCCTCCCCCGCCACCCTTGTCCCAATTGTGGCCCCCTCTTCGCTGATGATACTTTGGCTTACGCGTGCGGGGGTTTCTTTTTTGTAGAGGCCAGTGTCCCCCAGCGCCCTGGGTAGAGTAGGGGGGGGGGGCGGCCATCCTAGGCAATCAATCAGAGCACATTGCAAAAGTTTCCCAGTGATTTGCGAGGAAGAGGGGTGTCGGCGGTGATGGCGGGGTCCAGACGGTTTCTTTATTCAATTCCTGCAGGGCCATAGGGCTTCGTTTTTTTATTTGGTTTATTCGCTGATTTATTCTGAATTTCCAATTTCTTTCAAGTGTGCGGGCTTCACGGGTGGGACCCGTCTAAATTGCCGCGTTTCGAACACGATCACCGACAAGTATGTCTTATGGGGGTAAGAACCTGCCTAGAGTAAGATGCTTGTATTAGTTAGTATATAGAACTATGAACGCAACGTAGATTTGCTTCCCTTTTTATTACCCTTTAATTTCGATAGGAGTGGATATATATCAAAGGGGTCCTTTTTAGCCAGACAACACGAACTATATTTATCTTTAAATAGATTTCCTCAAATGCTTTTCTACAACAAATTTCGTAAGTTTAATACCGACATGGGGTTAGTTGGAAAATGCATTGTGTGTATCGTCGCGATTTTGCTGGCCTTTCGTTTGTTGAACTACCATGTGCTGAGCGATACATACGGACATCAGGGGGAAATTCTTGGTGGATCTGTGAATAATGGATACTGTTGGAGTTCAGAGGAGGAAATCAATAAAGGCACGGAAGATTTGCTGCCTTTGCTCAACCGCATAACGTCGAAGCAATACTATCGTTACTTCAAAGTAAACATAGAGAGGCCATGCCCTTTCTGGGCAGTACACTTCATTTGTACTAGTAAGGAGAATCCATGTAGTGTTTGTAGGTGTGACGAAAATAATATACCAAAGGAACTACATGAACCGACGGATATGAGTGAATACCCTATACCTGATGCGCATATTTCACAAATTGTCCCACATCCCATTAATGTCGATAATTGGGGTTCTTGGAAAACGAAGGATGATAATGCAGAGTATGTTGATCTTCTACAAAACCCGGAGGCCAACACAGGCTTTATTGGCCCGATGGCAGCAAAAGTTTGGCAGGCAATATATAAAGAGAACTGTTTTTCATGCAATCAATCGAACCACACCGAAAGCTTTGTTTTCCGAAGACTCCTCAGTGGCTTGCAAACATCAATCAGCGTGCATGTTTTCACAAACTTTTTCAGAGATCCGAAGTTCGAATCTCCTTTATATAAAAGTGGGCTCTATAATAATCCCAATATTTCCTTTTTCCCGAATTGCAAGTTGTACCGAGAAAAGCTACAGCCAAACAAAGAGTTCATTCAGAATCTTTATGCGCTCTTTCAATTCACTCTGCGAGCTTTAACAAAGGCGAAATCATCATTTATTGATGATTTAAAGTCGTTGGATTTCACTGAAAATTCTACTATAGAGTTGGAACATCAAGAGTTGCATTCAGATCTAATGGAACTTTTTTAACTCAAACCTCTTATGCACAAGAACGTTTGATGAAGTTTCCTTTTTGAATTCGCCCCATGGGGGAGAACTAGTCCCTCAAATGAAGTATATGCTAGCCAATATAAGTAATATAATGGATTGCGTTCCCTGCGAAAAGTGTCGTGTATGGGGTAAACTGGCAATTAAAGGTCTTGCCACTGCCACGGAAATCAATATGAATTGTGATGTTTACAATGTTGTCCTTAACCGTGCGGAAAAATTTACATTGATTAACTTAGCTCGGCAACTATCATTTTCAGTAAAAAGCTTGGATATACTAGAGGAAATATGTCGCAATGAATCATTGATTTGATGTAAAGATTATATATTTTTTAGCCAATTAAGAGTGAGAAGATATATAGTTCAAAATTTCTTTATTTTTATAAGTGTTTGTGCTCTACATTTATAAAGGGTTTTAGATACTATCTGATATGGAGATTGTAGTCTGACTGCAATTACTTATCCCTTATGATATGTTTATAAATACATCTCTATATATACTCTCTTTCACTTTATCCCGAAGGTCTGTACATTTTTTCCATTTGGGTCAATGTGGGGTGTTGAGCGTGATAAAAGTGAAGAATGTGACAACAATGATCACTGGAAGGCACTTAAAGACGAGTTGATGGAAGGAGACGATGACCAAGAGGTTCTGCCTAGAAATGGTGACCTCCGTCTTCCTCAAATGCCGTCAAAAAAAGTAAAGACAATTAAAAGAGTTGAAAAGACACATCTACAAAAGTCAATTAAGCCGAAGCAAAAGACTCTTGTTCAAACATTCAGCGAACATGATATGGAGAGACTCTTAGTTAAATACCGAGAAAGTAGTCAAGACGAAGAGCATACATCTATAGACATCATTAACTATCTCAAGGACGATGACGCTGATGAAGAAGCTGACACCATAGGAGCTGACATGAATGCAAATGACTTTTTCTCTAGACTTATAGATTCTACAAAAGTATATGAGCCCAATGCTCCTGGTGTTCATGTGAAAAAATCAGACTACAATACCTTTGAAACACCGCTTGTCAAACTAGAGGATGAAAAGTTCGAATACGAGCCACCCAACACTCCCTCCAAGAAGGAAGCTTTTCATGTGCCTAATATGTCATCTGTAAACTACCTCAACGTTGAGACACCCACTGAAAAAGTTGAAATTGTTGACAATTTGTTAGGACCAAGCGCTTTAGGCGACTCTTTAGTTCCTGAAGAGTGTATTGATAAGGAAAGTAATATTTTCTATTGGTTTGACGCCAAAGAGCAACCTTATTCGCTATCTGTGGACCCTGGGTCGTTGTTCCTTTTTGGAAAAATACTACTAAAACAAAACGGGAAACTACAGTTTTGCTCTTGTTGTGTACGTGTGCAAAACATGCATCGCTGTGTCTTCCTGCTTCCTAAGCCGGGCTCTTCTAGAGAGAATGTAGTGGCAGAAGTCAATGAAATTTGCCGAAACCAAGGTATTGAGCAGCGGCGGATAAAATTTGTGGATCGTTATTATGCTTTTGAGATTCAAGGCGTTCCATATGAGAAGACAACTTGGGTCAAGCTCCGCTATCCTGGACGATACGCCCCTTTGTCAGTCAATAAAGAGCTTTTGCATATTAGCACCATTATGGGAGCCTCAACATCGTTGCTTGAGCTTTTTATCATTAAGCGCAAATTGAAAGGTCCCTCTTTCTTGCGTATTTCCGATTTAAGCCCAGCATTGAATCAGGTATCCCATTGCAAAGTTGAGTACACCGTTGACTCACCCAAGAAAATTTGTCTAGAGGAGATACTAAAGGTGGCCCCACCCTTTACATTAGCTAGCATTCAAATCCATGCCCAACTAGATAGTAAGGGAGCAACCAATGAGGTGTTTGCTGCAACATTAGCCGTTTACCGTAACATAAACATCGAGAACTCATTGCGGGGTCAGCCCGGTGATATCTTTACAGGGGTTCGAGCATCATCTCTTGATAAACTACTACCACTTGATTTTGAAGCATTTTGTACCAATAAAGGTCTTCCTGGAGTTCACCGCTTCAGTAATGAGCGTCAGCTTTTGACATGGATCGCTAACACGATAAATTCAGTGGATGCAGATATACTCATTGGCCATAATTTTATTGGCTTCACGTTGGACACACTTCTGCGGCGCTGTCAGGACTTGAGTGTACCTAATTGGTCTGCCATCGGCCGACTTCACTTGAGCCGCTTTCCTCGTCAGCAAGGCTTCAATTTAAATCAGGTAAAGGAAATTTGTGTTGGAAGACTGGTTGCCGATTCATACCTTCTAGCTCGTGAGTACTTTAAAACGGTGAATTATAAACTAGTATCTTTAGCTGATGAGATGCAAGTGAAAGGCATTACAAAGGGAAAGTGTAACTTTGAACCAGGGAATACTATTTTAACTCCACAAATACTTTCATCGTCTCAAGATCTCTTTGAGATCTTACTTCAGCTTTGTAATAGTGCCGTTCTTTCTGCTGCAGTGATTTTTCATCTCGATGCCCTGCGTTTAACCAAGCGCTTGACGAATATAGCTGGTAATCTGTGGAGCCGAACTTTGTACGGTGCCCGCTCAGAGCGTATTGAATACCTCTTGCTGCATGCTTTCCACGACCTCAAGTTTATCACTCCAGATAAGAAGTCATTCGATTTTAAGCGCCAAAGGGATGACGAAGAGTCAGAAGAATATAAACGAAAAGCTAAGTATCAGGGTGGTATGGTACTCGATCCGAAATGTGGGTTGTATTCGGACTACATTCTTCTCCTTGATTTCAACTCTCTATACCCATCTCTAATTCAAGAGTTTAATATCTGCTTTACGACTGTGGATAGAGACGGTAAGGAGGATGTTGATATTCCACCGCCTGATAATTTAATTTGTGCCACTTGTGCAGCGGCTGGACAGCCGTCTCCATGCCTTCACAAGTGCATTCTTCCTAAGGTTATCAAAGGACTTGTAGATAGTCGTCGTGAGGTTAAGCGTCTTATGAAGTCGGAGAAGAATGAAAGCAGTTTAGCCCTATTGGAAATACGTCAGAAGGCTTTAAAGCTGATAGCCAACAGTATGTATGGCTGTCTTGGGTTTGAGCACTCACGTTTTTTTGCTCAGCAGCTCGCTGAGTTAGTCACGCGTCAAGGTCGACTTGCTTTGCAAAGTACGGTCGAGTTGATCCCGCAGATCAATCCAGCTCTGCGTGTCATTTATGGCGATACCGATTCAGTTATGATTCAAACAGGGATCAAGGACGACATTAAATCTGTGCGGGATATAGGCTATGAGCTGAAGGCTAAAATCAATAAACGCTATCAGAGCCTCGAGATTGATATCGATGGTGTGTTCCGCGCGATTTTACTCTTAAAGAAAAAGAAATACGCTTCCTTGTCCGTTGTTGATTGGCAAGATGAGGGCAAAACGTATAAAAAGGAGGTAAAGGGGCTGGATATGGTGCGACGCGATTGGTGCCCTTTGTCGAAGAAAGTCAGTGATGCCGTTCTTAATCGAATACTGCATGCCACGGGATGCGAAGATATTCTAGACTACGTTATTAAGTATATGCAAGATGTTGCTGAGCATGTACGTTTAGGTGATCGCTACACTCTTGACGATTTTGTTATTTCGAAGAGCTTGACGAAGGAGCCCGAGTCTTATCGGGGTGGGGGCCTTCCACATGTGGCCGTGGCATTGCGTATGCGACAACGAAAGGAGTTGGTGCGTATTGGGGACCTCATTCCGTACATCATTTGTGAAGGTGAAAAGCTAACCGGGGAGCCCTACCATGTGGATGAGGTGCGACGTGACAAAAGTTTACGCATCAATGCGGAGTGGTACTTGACGGCGCAAATTTACCCCCCAGTGAAGCGTTTGTGTGAGCACATCCAAGGATTTACCAGTACTCAGCTGAGTCAAGCCATGGGGATTGCTGTGCATGAAGCTGCACCCCAATACGATGATGACGTCAACAAAGGTGTTGATGATTTCTCATATTGCACAATGTTCAAGGACCGTCACCTGGCAGAATGCTTTCCGAATGTAGTGCAGCTGCAGGTTAAATGCAACCATTGCTTTTGTGAAACCCAAATTGATCCGCACACACGTGTGTTGGAGTTTTTGAAGAAAAATCCAGGTGATTATGCAAAGTTTGATCTGTATGTTTGCACAAACTGTGAGCATAGTCTACTCTCCGATGTTCTTGTCAACTATTTTAATCAACTTTGCTTCACACTGTTTCGGCAGTTTTATCAGTCCGGCGGGAGTGTTGCCGCTGTACGTGCGATTCGAGTTCAATTTACTTACTTCAGAGCACTGTTTGATGTTCCCCACTCCCCTGGGTGCCCGCAGCAGGTGAAGTTATGCCACCGTACGCAGGCCCGCCGATGCTTGGGCTCAGATCGTAAACTGTACACCTTGGAAGAAGCCGATGACGTGGATGTGAAAAAGCTCTACAGTCCAGTGGACCTACTTCGTGACGCTTCTGAAACATTTTACAAGCGAATTGATCATTTTTTTGTGAATTTGGAACAACTCTTTGCAAAATAGCCCAAATTCAATCAGGTATGAGGCAACAAACCCAATATTGCGTTCTCACATAAACTTATAGAGCTTTATAGTGTTGTCTATTATATATATACATAGAGTTCTTTGTTGTAAATCATAGAAAATCCATAGAAATGATTTCGTATGCATTCTTTTGTATCCCATCTAACCAAATGTTTTACTGTCCTTGATTCCTAAAATTTTTTAGTTATGAGTGTCGACTCCGTTGGTTAGTGTGTAAAATAACCGATCTCAATTTATTATTTATTATTTTCCTCATTATTATTCTACTTTTACTTCGTTTTAGTGTTTTGGTGGCTTTGATTGTTAGTATAGAACAGAAGCAGCAACAACACAAAAGCAGTCGAAAAGATACCCTGAGGTGGGAGAAACTTCCGTAACAGTTGCATTACAAGAAAGATGGCAATCCCCCCCAAAATGCTTGAGCGCCGTACGGTGTTCGGTGTACGGGAAAATGTCAAGGATGGTATCCAGTATCTCGATGACGACAACATTGTTTGGGTTGCAGGTACTACTCTCATCCTCTTGGATACTCAGATGGGCGTACAAGAACTTACTCCATGCTCTCCTTCGTGTGAATCCGTTACTGCAATGACTCTATCGTTGAATCATCATGTCCTAGCTGTTGCAGAAAGTGGGTCCAACCCTTGCATAGCTGTTTACTTGTTCGATGCAACCACGAAGCCGCGCCTGCGGGGCAAGAAGATATTGCAGATCTCCGATGTAGGCTCGTCTGAGTACGTTTCATTAAGCTTTTCTCAGGACGGAAAGTACTTAGCAGCTCTGGGAGGATTTCCAGAGTGGAAGATAGTCTACTGGAATGTCGGGAGGGCCAAAGTTCTCTCAGCGTGTTCTGTGACAGGAAGGGAGAATATAGCCGCTGACCGCCACTATCTCAACCAGTGCAGTATTTCCCCTAACAATCCTGGACTTCTATGTGTGTCGGGACCAAAAACTGTTCGATTTTTCAAACTAGTAGATAACCAATTAACTGCATGTCAAACGACGCGTGGTTTGAATGGAAATGTGGCGGATTGCCTTGCTCACACATGGATAATTTCAGACCCGTACCAGCTTATCGTTTCTACTTCGAACGGTGACCTCCTCCTGTTTGACAACATGGAGTACCAGTATCCACTCCCTATTTCACCTTCCGATGGTATCCCTCTTCATGCACTGAAGGCGTATAGTAAAGGCTTTGTTTGTGGTGGTGACATGGGATTGATTATCATATTTGAGAGGACAGATAACAAGGAGATGTACCGTAAGGTGCGCAGTTTTCAGTTTACTTCTGATGGTGAGCCTCGAAAGGAGACGGTATCCCTAACCAACCAGCAGGACATGCCTATAATTCTTTCCTTTACGATTACCCCTCCTCCAGCAGAGGAGACTTTGGCCTTTCTTACTAGCACCAAGCAAATATATTGCTTGAACTTACCTAATGTTGATTTTAACCGTGTTGACGATTATGTATTTCAGCCCGTTGGCCAGCCTTTTCATACGGGGCCTGTAGTAGGCGTGGATATGAGTTCTCAGCGCCCGCTCGTCGTCACGGCCAGTCGAAATGGCCAGGTTTTTATTTGGAACAGCATTACCAACAGTGTAGAGATGCGTAAAAGGTTTAATTCCGAAATTCGTAGCGTCGCGATACATCCGTCTGGGCTCCACCTATTGGTTGGCTTTGTGGAAAGCTTGAAGCTGATGAATATATACGCCAAGGATATACGAGAGTTCAAGACCATTGATATTCGTTCTTGCTGCGCATGTGCATTCAGCACTGGAGGCCAGTTCTACGCCGCTGCACACTCCTCTACTATACACGTATACTTTACATACACCTGTGAGTTACTAGGCCACTTGCGTGGACACAGCGGAAAGGTTAAGAGTCTCTACTTTGTTCCTCCAGATGATACACGAATTATTTCTACTGGGGCAGATGGTGCCATCTACGAGTTCAATCTGATGGACTTTCACAAAGTTAACGACAATGTAGTCAAGGCCATTGCATATAACTGTTCCGTCGCCGATGTAGGCACCATTTGGGCGGCCGGGAACGATCGAAAGCTGAGACAACTAGACCGTCACAGTCTGCAAAAATGTGTGGAACACGATCTGCACAACGCCTCGATGCTTTCCATGGCGATAAGCGTTCAGATGAAGCTTCTCTTCGGGGGCTGCGATGACGGTACCGTGCGGGTGCTGAACACGTACTTGGGGGAGAAGCTCTTTGATCGTGATCGTGAGTCACTAAAGTCAAACACTGGTACTCGCCCCAGTATTACCATCGAGACGCATCCTGCGCACACAGGTGGAGTTAGTATGCTGGCCTTGAGTTATAACGAAAGTGTCTTAGTGAGTGTTGGGGAAGATGGCTTGGTGGTGCTTTGGGATGTGGTAGCACCACATCGTGGCGGGCGTGCCGAAATCGAGTACTCTAATGAGCTACTCATCGACAGACATGAGCTGGAGAAGATTGCCAAGTTAATTGAGTCTTTACAAAATCAGGTGATAGATTTAAAGCAACGCATGGTTCAGCAGCAATTGGAGCGGGAGCAGTCACATGAGGAGAATATTGCGAAAATGGAGCGTGATTACCGCCGTGAACTCTCCAAGCTGACAGAGAAGATCAACGCACTGGATTCCGAAAAAAATGAACAGGCCATTCGCTTTACTGAGTATATGGCGGAATTAGAAGCGAAGACCCATGAGACTACCGAACAGACGGAAGAAGATTATAGCGCCAAAATCTCGTCGATGCATGACCGTGTGAATCAGCTCCGTATCCTTCTTTCCGAGCAGCGCGCGGAGTATGAAAGTAAAGTTGCTGAGATTCGTCGTGAAGCCGCAGCCCAGCGTGCCGCGCAGCAGGTGCAAAGGACTCAATCACTGCAGCAGCTCGAGGAACAGTATCATGCGCTGCTGCTGAAAAAGGAGCAGAATGACGCAGAAACCGAGGCCATGAACAAGTGGATTGAAGAGGATAATGATATAGAGCTAATCAAATGCAAAGAAAGTTACGAGAAGAGACGTCGCGAGCAAGAGGAGGAACTAGCGGCATTACAGATTGCTAACAGCTTGATGTTTGCACAGGAAAACATCAAAAAGACTGAGTTGGCGTCCAAAACGGCAGACGTGATGGATAAGTTGCGACAACAGGCCACGCTAGAGGGCCAGATAGACACAGCCAAGCACGACATCAAGGCATTGACGAATGAGCTACGTGAGCGAGGAGATGCGATAGAGGAAAAGGAGAGACGCATTGCTGACCTGCAACTAAAGAACCAGGGGCTGAATAAGTTCAAGTTCGTGCTTGAGTACAAAATAAAGGAGTTGAAGGCACAAATTGAACCTCGTGAGGCTGAGATACGCTCGGCTACCGAAAAGCTTACTTGCATGGATGCTGAAGCCGAGCGGTATCAACATAGCAACGAAAATTTAGTGTTGCAGATCCGTAATTTGCGTCAGAAGAGGGCTGGGCGCCAGAAAGAAGTTGACTCACTCACTACTAAGATGAAAGCTGTTGAGGAGTTCCAATCTCGCCTCTGGACGGAACTTTGTGATGTACACGACGAGATACACAACCCACGTAGACTCAAGGAGATGGCCAAGGCACTTTTTGATAAGTACACCTCTAATAAACCACAACCTGCAGTTCAAAAAACTCTGACCTCTCGAACCGCGACTGACGAAGTTCGCGATTATCACCGCGAGCGTGACCATCTGGAGCGCAACTTGGCAAGTCTAAAAAAAAAAGTTAACAGAGACGCTGAGAACAACCGGGCTGACAAGAATCGTATTTTATCTGAAAATGTCATTTTAGTAAAGGAAATCAATGACTTGAGAAAGGAGGCTCGAACACTGGCAATCAAGGTTGGCATAATACGTCCGACTGATCCGAGTGCGTCTGCGGCTTATGAAGAATCGTACCTGCGCGAGTTGGAGACCTACAAGGCTGAATTGACGAAATTGAAGCAGATTGCTGAAAGATTGGAGGGGAAACTTAAGGCTAAAAATATATCTATTCCAGGTATGAGTGGAATGAAATCAGATTGTGGAGGGAAGGGGATAGGGTTGTAGTTTTGTGAATTTTATCATCACCATATCCCTGGCACCGACCTCAAGAGACCCGTGCTATCTTTTGCTAATATTCAAGGCGTTGGAAAGGTTTTCTCGTGGGTCCTTCTTTTTCTCTTTTTTGTGGTTCATTCCAGCTGGAAAGGTTGGGCATTGACTATGTACATAAATTTTTGTTACAATCAACAAAACAAGTCCTTGTTTTGTGCAAACTTATGTAAGCGAGTGCGTGTAAGTTGTAGATATTCGTGTATACTTTTCCACAAAAGTCATAGAGCACTTTTGTGCAGTTTATGTTTCCCATCACACTGGCAATGCAGTAATGAGTTATCTTTCTGACTAACGCGATAAATGGAAGAAGGTATCGAGACAGTTTCTGTGCTTTACTTTGCGCTTATCATTTTCTATTCATTTTGGTTTATTATTTCCATGTAGTAAGCTCATAAAAACTTCCAGCAATCTTTAAGCAAGAAGGTGTGTGTAAACACAACAACTCCGTTAATTCTATAACTACAAGAAAAAAGAATAGCAATATCAAAATAAGGTACTGGCAAGCAAGTGTAATGCTTGTTGTTAGCCAGAAATGGCGCTACTTGGCTTCTCTAGCTGCTCAATCTGCTGCCGAGTTTTCTCGCCAAAACTCATCATCTCAGCCTTTGCTATGGATCGACGACGAGGCAGCTTCAAAGGAAGCCTATGAGGCACATATCAAGAGTGCAGAATATAGGGAGTTGCACCGTCCGGCCGCGACCAATGCTGATATGGGGCTTTTTGGTGGAGAGCCTGGCTTTGAGAAATCTTACCGCGTGTGGGTCGATCCGGATAGACCCCATATGAAGCATGTATACAATCAAACAGCATTAGCGAAGAATCTGCGCTATGCCCGATATGGCTACTTTAAGCGTGATATGCATCTGCTAGATGTAGATAAGCTAATTCGTCATGCTCGACTGCTTCCAACCCCGAAGCGTCTCTTGGGAGACTTTATCTATCAGCGCGTTCCCCTTTCAGACAAAAGTTGCAGTGCCTTTATTCGCTACCAGCTCGAGCAACTTAGGATGTTAGAGGAGTGGCAACGGGATTCCAGCCTCGCTTCCGCTGAAGAGATGTTCGAGAGGATGATCGTCACCAACATTCCTCCTGTAGAAGTTGGCGTCGAGACACATGCGGAAATGATTCGCTGTTGTGCTGTATGCCGAGACTGGAATAAGGGCTGGAACGTATACACACAGCGAGCAAGGGAGATCGAGGAGGAAGAGGCTGATCAAAAAAATGATGTTTACACTCTTGATACAAACTTATTTGATGCTGTGTTGGAGCTGTGTGTTGCCTGTGAGAAGTTTGTTGAGGGGATGCAAGTGATGGAGGAGTCCATTCAGCGCCACTTGAAACCGAGGCCTAGCATGCTTGAAAAGGCAATGCTCCTGATCGCCATTGCTGCAGAGCGGCTCGACCCCATCTTTTCTTTGAACCCGCATGCAGCCGATCCGCGGAATGAGGAAGGCTGGCGGGATGCACTCACTGGGTATGCTCAGCGTGGCCTCGATGCGTGGGCTCTTTACGACTTCTACGGAATTCCACGCACCACTGCAAGTGTGGAGGCGTACATCCGTATGTGTAGCATGCTGCACAAACCGATGTTGGTGCTGGAAGCGCTTGGGTTAGCCGATGCTGCGCATATCCGTCTCTCATTGCCGTGCTACCATTGGGCTTTTTACGCCATTCGTAGCCTACCCGACTTTGGTGGTTTCGTCATGGATATCGTCGGACAGCTTGCACCGCGCGGCCTCACGGCTGACTATCTTACTTTCACAACCGCCTTCATGTATTGCGCTGTGCAGCATGATGGCGAGTTAGCGCTTTCGCTCTACCAACATTTTGTACATAGCGATATAAATCCCACCCCGGAAATGGTACTTTTATTTGAGCAGGCCTGCGTCCGGTGTAAGGAGCCGCGGATAGAGATGCTCTTAGCTGCTGAAGCGTTCATTGAACGCCTAGAGTCTGTGGGTAGTTCTGTGGATCGTATTTCTTCGATATACGATCAGTACATGGAGCTGGCGGCTCACTTGGGCGCTGTTGGTTCTGCATTCGGCAAATTGAAAAAGCTTTTGAGCTATGGGAAAGAGCTGACGACACGACATATGAATTCTCTATTGCTCGCCAATAGCAACGCAAGCCCACCAACCGGCGGGGCTGCCATGACCGATGAAATCGTAAGTGTTTTCAAGCTTTTAAATATTCAAGCGAACGACGACACTGTCCACTTCTTAACTCTTTGCCAGGAGGCTTTTGGAACCTCAGGGGAGGTGGACCGCTTTCTGGAGGAGATAGAGGAGGCACGCCGTGAAAGCCCAGGGATGACGTTGGGCACCGATGAGGATATCCCCGTGCGGGAGGACCCGCCACACAAACTCCGTCATCTGGCCACGGAGTGGCGGCTGCGTCCGCGGGATTCCGTGCTGAAGCGTTACGGACAGATGTCTCGCCACCGTCGTGAGGAGGACGTAGGAAGCATGATCGGCAGCACCATTCCCTTCGGTCGTTACCCTGGTGAGAAGGTGGTTTAGCCATCTGGATTTTGGATTCCTTTCTAATATGGCTTGGGCCTCTAGGTAAAGCAGGTTTCTATTGATTTTCCCGTTGCCGTCATGTTTTCCGTACGCATGTCTGGGATTGCGCGACGGACCGAAATCAAACATATTCTCTTTCTCCTCCGCATATTCCCAAAAGGTAAACCGAGTGCATATTCGTATCACACGATCGTACTTTCAATGGCTTTATATCACTTTGTTTGCTTTCTTCGCAGGTTGCTTTTGTTGTGCCCAGTGAACACTGAAGTGGTGTGCGAGATATGACTTGTGATCAACCTGCTCTACTAATATCAGTCATCATTTTCTGCTCTCCCTTGCCTAGAGGAAAAAAATAGCACACAAAATTAGAGATTGAGTCGTTATTATGCTACAGTTCGAGTGGCCAAAGGTGTGGAGTTTGGAGAGCCGAGAGTCCGTGCGGGCGGCGATTGAGTCTATCATTCGTTCAGCGATGAGCGGCAGCACCAACTCAAAGATCCGAGGCATGGTAGTGGCAGATTTGCCTTCAATGGGTTTGTATCCGCCTGAGTTGATGCTCAGTGGGATACGCGAGGTATCGCCTGAGCGAATCGCTTTGATGGTAAAATTGCGTTATGATGGCGACTTCTCAGTTACCTTGCGTGGCCTGGAAATCAACTTAGATACCATCGGCTCTAATGACGAGGAGGCCAACACAAACCTTGCTATGCCTTTCTACTGCCCCTTCGAGATGACACTGCAGGACATTCGTCTGGACGGGATGGCGTCGATTGATTTATTCCAGGAGCTCGAGGACATGACTCGGCGCGACAGTGAAGACACTTTTAGCACTATCAGCCGTACCAAATTGAGACCAATGAATCAGGTTCGAACACAAAATCTAAGCTCGACAGGCATTGCGAATCTCCAGATGATTAACACTGGAAGCAGTGATAAGTTATTATTAAATACGCGTGCACCGGCTCTTCACACCTCTGGGTACGGGGTGCTTTTCGGTGCGGGTGGTCGACGGGCGATGCGACCTCCTGAGGTAATCGCATCGGCTGACATAGCACCTAAATCTAAGAAACCTTGGGATACTAACCGTCTGAGGGCGTCCTCGGCAGCCCGTTCCTTTTCAAGTGATCTAAGCCAGGCTTCAAATGTACCTGATGAGGGGGTACCTAGCGGGAGGCGTTATTCAATGTTGGACTTGCTGACCAACAATGTAACCGTAAAGCAACGTGTACTTAGGATACAGCTCTTCGGCGATCCATTAAAGAGTTTCAAAGTGGTTTCTAATTTTGCTACGGTACCTGGGGTGAACAACAAGGTGGACGCGATCATCAAGACCCTTATCAAGCCTTCCATAGAACGCATGATGACCGAGGGTATCAGCATTAACTTGTAAGGTAAAGCGTCCGATGGGGAATAGTGACTTTCCCTTTAGAAATTATTATTCCATCGGAAGTAATATAAGCATTTGCCTCAATTCATTTCCTTGCGGCGCAGTAGTGTTCTATACTCCTGAAATTTTACTACATCCCTTTTATCATAGATTAGGAAGAATGAACTATGAAAACTCGCATATCTTTCCCAAGGGCTCTTCTTATTTGTTGCCAATTGAGCGATTTCAGTAGCGGTTCCTAGTACTCTTTTTCATTTGCCCGACAGATGTTCTTCTGTAAGTTGCTAAAGTAGGTTCCTTATATGCTTTATGCGGCGTCCTTTGCATTGAGTATCATGTTTCTTAACATTTTACCGACGTTACGGTACGCACTCGTAAGGACGCCTGCACAAATGCTTATTTTTTCACTGGCATTTACAAAAAAATCCCACATAATCACATACGGATCAATATATATACATATAGTTTCTTCTTTATGTGGGTGTCCGCATTATCTTTGGCGTTATGTGGGGGATCTGTCAAAGTGTTATTCCTTTTTTTTGTTATTTCTTTTGTGTGAATGTCTTAATGCAGAAAAAATTTCCACACCCCTTGTCTTTCTTTGATGGATTTCAAGATTAGAAGTCACATGTATGCAAAAAAAATATGCAAAGCCCCACCGAAACTGAAGAAGCTCGAAAGGGCTCTCTGAATGAGCGGCTGGATCGGCATATGGCATGGAAACGCGAATTCTTTCGCACTCGCTCACCACCACCTGCGATTGGTCGTATCCATCGCCGACAAGCAGGGCACAAGGGCGGTGCGCCAGTGCACATCACCTTTAAGAGAGCGCGTGAAATTGCGTTTCAGCAAACCCCATCCGACGATTGCGCTGCAGCCCACGATGTGCCAAACAGCCAAGAGGACTCAACGGAACCTCTGAAGATGAGTCGACACAAACAGTGGTTGGCGCAGATGCGGGAGGAGCGCGCCCGCCGAAGTCCTTTCACAGACCTTCAAATTCATTCGAACGCTCAGAAGACGGTGATTATGGCCAATCTGCACCCAGATACTATCGAGGAAGATGTACGGCGCTTTGCAGACCAGTTTGGCCGTGTTGTGCAGGTGCGCATTGTGCGACACAACCGGACCGGGAAAAGCCGCCGCTACGCATTTGTGGAGTATGGTCTGACAGGGGAGGCTCGTAGGGCGACAACATATAGCAAGAAAAAGCGCCTCAAGGGTCGCTCTATCATTATAGACATAGAGCGCGGTCGCATTGAGGTAGGCTTTCTTCCAAAGCGCTTGGCTGAAGCGGCGAGGTATGAACCCAGCGATGCAGACACAAAAATCTACGAGAAATCAACATCACAGCTCACAAATGCCAGCGTTCTAGACTCGCAAAGAATGATGAAGTCTGTTGAATCTAACGAGTGCGATGATGACGATGCCTTCCTTAACGCCATATTGAACAACTAGAAGGACCTTTATTCTTTTTGTATCTTTTCCGCAAAGGGATTCATACAAATATGTTTTGTGACATTTCAGAGGAATATTCATTCTAGCTCATGGTACGTATGTTTCACGTTGTCCTTTTATTACTTTTTTGTTTGTCTCCGGCCAAGTAACATCTTTCTACTAATTTCATCTAAATGATGTATGAGTATCGCATTGTCAAGCATGCGACGTCGTTTGTACTGGAGAGTCAATAACATCAGTCAACCCACCTTTGACGAAAAATGTCGTGAGCAAATATGATAGCACCGCTCTTCCGGAAATACGTATATTGCTTTTATTAGGGAACAGTGGAGGGTATTATACTCACATAAGCATTTTTTACAACATATTACAAGGTCGTATCTATTATATTTTCTACATCAAAAAATGCAGTTTAGTGTAGAGCAGATCCGTAGCGTGCGAAACAACTATCTGGACCCTCCTTACCCGGGGTTTACACTCGATGAAGTTTGTCGGCGCCGTCGCGCGACACAAACCAAACTTGTACGTGGCGAGAACGCATGGAAAGCCAAAGGAACAGCCCAGACTACTGAAGAGTGGGTGTCACGACTTGTGCAGGGCTCTCTCAACAAACTCAGCGAGCGAAACTTCGACGAAATTATGCGCAAATTGCGCACTAAGGAGCTTTTTTCAACAAATGGTATCTTAACTAATGTGGTGAACTTAATTTTTTACAAGGCGATTGATGAGCCAGTAAACAGTAAGCTGTATGCCGCAGTATGCTTTAACCTGGCGAAGTACGAGGTGGCATTGAACGACAGCGACAACTCCCGGCCAAAATCCGAGCTGCGTAATGCGATTGTAGCGACAGCGCAACGAGAGTTCAAGGAATTGCGTCGGAGTGAGGATAAGGATGACAAAAACCTTTCCGAAGAGGCACTGGATCAGCTGCGCTCAAATTTCATGCGTCGTAAACGTGCCAATATTCGTTTTGTTGGTGAGCTCTGCCTTAACGGTGTACTTTCTCACACCACGATCTTTAGCATCTTCGAGGTGATTATGAGAGCAGCAACTGAGGGCGGCTTCCCGGAAAGTGAAAATATCGAAATCATTTCTGAGCTGCTCCACACTATTGGTGAGTATATGGACAAACAAGATAAGAAGCGAATGGATCACTATTTTGAGCTACTCGCAGGGTTGATAAAGAAGTCGGATAACCCTTATCCACACCGAATTCGCTTCAAAATCATGGATGTGCTAGATCTGCGTAAGTCGGCATGGGGCACAAAGCCGAAGCCGCAGCAAACCGTTAAATTTTCAGCTGGTAATGCCGCAGGCAAGGGTGCCACGCCGCCCCCGGTAGCCTCCAAGAAGTCAAGTGAAGGCAGGGTCAGCGAGTCTGGGTCAAAGAGCTGGAGAGATGTGGCGTCTTCAAAGCTTGCTGTGGCACCCTCTAGTAGCGCACCCATTAAAATGTCGACTTCGACTTCAGGCACAAAGCATCAAGCCGCAGGCGCACAGGGCGGGAAAGGCGCTGCCAATGCCCCCTCACCGGCCGCTGCAGCCATTGAGTTGCCCTCTGCGGACGCCAGCGCAGTCACCCGGTCGAGCAAAACACCAATGGTTAAGTTTGAGCTGCGTGTCCGCTCACTCCTTCAGGAGTGGGTCTCAGATTACGCGAATGATTTTGTACCACAATGGATTAATGAATTTAACAACTGCGATCGTACATTTGCCTCTGATGGGGATCTTTGCGTGGCTGTTGCAGTGCAGGTGATTACGGAGGCGTGCATAACCACGCGTAAGGAGGCACAACGTGAGGCATGCAGCTTCTTGATCGTTGGATTGTACCTGATGGATGAGGAGATGTTGCGAGGGTTTACTGGAGCACTCGCCTCGGCTATTGAAGATGGGATACTCGAGGATGTGCCAAAGTTTCCCGAACGCTTTATGCATATGCTGCGTTTGACATCTTCGGAAAAAGAGATCAATGCGGATGTGTACTATGATGCGGCGAACGTTCTTTGTATGGCGTTCAATCAGCTAGATGACACTTATGAGTCAAATGTGGATACCCTACTAGACTTCTGGTCTAAGGTGCCACAGCCAACTGCTGAGGAAGAGGCGGTAAATCTTGGGTTTCCAGTCATCTATTCTCTATGTGAGCCCAAAGAACCCAAGGAGGGTCTCGATAAGCTACTTGGGGCCATCATTTTTTCATTACGCCAGATGGGAATTGTGGATGCAGACACGAGTGAGGAGCTTCTCAATACAGAGGTGCCAGACAACGTATTCTACAATAAGGTCACACAGGAATATCGACGCCTGGTAACGAAGAATGAGAGCGGATAGCTATGGGGCCTTCCTTTTGGTTATGTGATCTCGCTTGGAATGACTTATGATCGAGTAACTTGTAAGGAAAGAGTTTTTGATGAATTATATTGGGATTGTTTTTTTGGTTTGTGTGATTTTTTTTTCTATACCTTTTATCATTATAAACGCTTAAGTCTTTTTTCTATGTTTAACATAAGTATAATTTGCTATTAAATATCTTCCCTGTAGCTGATCAGAGCACCTAGATCCGTTTACTTGAACATTATAAATATTCAAGCTCGTCTATCAGAAACACTACCGCCTCCGTTGAAGGGAAGAAAAATAGAAAAAGTGTGGTAAATTGTGTGATAACCAAACACTATGTGTTGCTCTTTAATTTGTGTGCAGTTTTCTGCGTTAAACGGTCTTAATTTTTGCAAGACAACTGCTGTTGCTGTTAGACTTATTGCATCACGACCGTGCATCGAATACAACACAATCAAGCATATTCCTTTTTTTTCTCTTTTATCCCATTTTTTTGTCTTTATATATACTTTACCGCTAGATACATATTTTTCAAAGTCCTCCTTCTTGGTTCTGTGAACATGTCGAAATTATTACATAAAATTGCAATCGGCACAGCAGCGGCATCTTTAGGGATTTACAGCTGCTCCTTTGTGGTCTACCCCGGTGAGGCCTGTATCCTTTACAACAAAATCTCTGGGCTCAAGCATTCCGTCTATGGTGAGGGTATTCAGTGGCGGATCTTATGGCTGGATGATGTTAAGCGCTTTAACATTCGCATTCGCCCTCGTACGCTACAAACGATGACAGGTACTAAGGATCTTCAGATGGTCAACATTCGCTTGCGTGTGTTGTTTCGTCCGATTACCGATCGCCTTCCACAGATTTACCGTACATTTGGCATGGACTACGACGAGCGCATCCTTCCATCTGTGAGCAATGAAATACTAAAGGCGGTTGTGGCTGAATACAAGGCCGAGGAGCTTATCCAGAAACGCGACGCTGTCTCAACGCGCGTGTACCAGCTCATGCAGGAAAAGGTCGGCCAGTTCGGTCTTGTAATCGAGGATCTTTCGCTTGTGGACATCCAGTTTGGGCATGATTTCATGGTAGCTGTTGAACAAAAGCAGGTGGCACAGCAGGAAGCTGAGCGTTATCGTTACGTAGTTATGGAGAATGAGCAGAAGCGGCGCGCGGCTGTTGTACGTGCTGAAGGCGAAGCAGAGTCCGCTCGATTGATATCTGAGGCAATTCAGCAATCCGGTCCGGGTCTTCTCGATCTGCGCCGCATTGAGGCAGCTGTCGAAGTGGCGAACCAGCTCGCGCCGATGAGCAACACAACGTTTCTCCCTTCAGGCAACAGCATGATTCTCGACATGTCACAGAGGACCAAGTAATTTTATGGACAAGTATGTAAGGCGTTCTCCCAAGGGTTGCTCGAGATGTTAGGAAAGGTCGAAAATCACATATACACATATCCATTGGAATGAGATGATTATACTGATATTTTTGAATAATTTTTACCGTTTTGACCCATTGGCGCATATTTTAGCTCTCATGGATGCTTTACATTTCAGCGTAGTTTCCCTGTCAGGCATAATGCATAGGAGTCATGAAGTTAGAGGTGCTAATTTTTTTCTTTTAACACTTTTAGGATCGTATGAAAGCTATTCAGAACGTAACCATATGGAAATAAATTCTATGCATCAATATTGATTGCAGATTTAACTTTCGGACACAGGGACCATATACCGCTTCTATATAGACGTGCTCCTTTTGTCTCTTCTTTTTTTCGTCATTTTACACTTCATATCCATATGACTTCATTTGACTCTACATTCTATTTTCTCCCCAAATCCATTGAATCATAATATGCAGATATTGTATATATCAAAAATGGTCAAGAAGTCAGTGAACGTGCCCAAGTCCTCTAGGTCAATGTTTCCTAAAGGCGACCCCAGCACTTGCCATATTGTCAGTTGCGTGCGGTCAGTCCTGGGAGGTGCCCTTACATTGGTGGGCACGAATAGGGGAGTTGCGCTTGGTTATTATCATCCTCAAGATGGGGATGCCTCCCAGAGTGGCACGTTGATCTTTATGCAGAAGCTGCACCATGGTCCAGTTTACAGTTTCACCTCAAACACCTCAAATTTGATAGCTTCAACTGGTCACGATGGGGCATGTTGTGTAATCACACTGGCTTCCATTTTTTCGAAACAACCCATGATTCCCCCTTCGCGCTTCACAGGCCATACGCTGCCGGTCGTAGCGGCTGTCTTTTTTAGCGACGATCGCACATTGGCTTCCCTGAGTATTAATGGACTTGTTCTTCTGCACGACGTCTTCCATGGAGCGAGGAACGGCGGCGCATTGGTGGGATTCTTGCGTGTTGGCTTCCCTGCACGCTGCCTTGCTCTATCTCGTGATGAAACATGTTGCTATGTTGCTGGGAGGCGTCTGGTGCAAGTAGATTTATTCAATGGTCTGCGTCCTAGTCGGGCCACTGGGTTCGAGTTTGGTGATGCCAATGGGAGCCCCGACAACCATCGACCATGGCTGAGCTTTTACTCATGGACGAACTCGAAGGGTGTGATCGTGAACACGACGGCCGCCGATGAATATTTCCAGAACCTTGACGTGTGCCAAGAGGACGGGGCTGTTCTGGGGACTATTGCTAACCGATCGATAGATGTTATGAAGAGCAGAGAAAGGAGTGATGAATCCACAGGCTTTGTGCGCTGGTCCATTGCACCGGGTCGTTTTGCCGCTAGTATTGGAATCTATAGCCCTATCGCCAAGGCTCGCACTGGGCTATCACATAAGGAAGCGCCTTTCTGTGTAGGCACCCACCTAGACCTTGATCACGAACTCAAGGGTAGTTTGCCCTCACTCTGGGAGGTTTGGTCTGCGAAGGATCTCCGCACGTCTCAGTGCAACATCCCAAATCAACCCTGGAAGTCATATCCACGCTTTAGTAATGTTCGCTGGTCCGATCTCTGTCTTGTTGCAAGTGAAGCCACAGGGAGTATCTCATCATCGCCAGCACTCTTTGGTGTTGATCATGAGAGCTGTCTCACTGTGGAGCGCGTGAAAAACAAGTTACTGCAACAGGAGTGTAATGAGCTCTTTGCTGAGCTTAAATCCCTCACCAAAAGGGAGAAGGATAGTGACCCAGAACGGCTAATAAAGAAGCCCAGACTTAACTCATGATCTTAGCCTCCCATTAATATTTAAAAAATCGTTTAAAGAATAGTTTTTTCCAAAAACTATTTTTATGTCCCCTTGAGCTGCAAAAATCGATTCCATTTAGACAAGAAATGAAATCGTGACCAGCTATATAAACATGAATTTGTAAGGTATCCTATAGTTGTATTAGCTGCGTTGTTCTATAATACCTAACCTCAAGGACCCTTCTTAATTGTCTTAGAAGGAAAAGCAACATAGGCTACCTTTACTAGATCTTTACTATTGTGATAGTGGCTCACACCTATTCTTTAAAAACTCTCCCTAGAAGTGTATATATTGTTAATGAGTTCTGCCCCTAACCTAGAGAAGCTTGTAGGCACTTCGATCTGCGAAAAGCTTCTGGCAAAATCTGGAGGTCTAGTTGGGATTGCGAAGCTCAGCGACAGCGCATTGCGTCACCTTGGTCTGGAGGAGTTCCACAACGCAGAAGATGCTGCAAGGGCTAGGCAGCTATTGGGTGGTTTTATGGTCGACGCGCCTATTTTTGTGAAGCACTTCTCTGACACCGAAGTGACAGCGGACTGCCTCAAGGGAGCTCGGAAAGCACTCGCCTTGCTCAGCCGAAAGTGTGTACTAGCAGTGAAGACAGATCTTTCTGGTGGCTCCCCGGATGGTGCTATGGGCGCAGCGGAGCTTGAAAAGCTAGAGGCAGCCTTTGAAAGGCTCCTGAAGGAAGGAAAAGTTGGAGCTGTAGATACGCAGGCGCTTCCAGTACCCGAAATACACAAGCGCGGCGAGCCTCCTAAGCGGAAGCGTGGCGGTGTGAGAGAACATAAGAAGCGTGAAAGTCAAAAGGATGTATCAGGCGTCATTGAGCGTGCGTTTTCACGGATAAAAATGGGCATTAGTGAGGAGGTGCAGCGTGAGGAGAGGCTCCAAAATGCAGAGCTACGAACTACCTTCATGAAGGAGCAGGAGAAGCAGCTCGAAAAGGAATCTCGAAAACGACCACGTGCCAACCATAGTGACAGCGACGATGAGTATGCTGATCTTTTTGGTATTGCGTTGTGAGACATTTTCTGTCCATCCATTTTTCTCTTCTCTCTACTCAGTGCAGGTCAAATCCAAGAGTGGTTTTAACTGCTTGTGCAGTGCCGTTTATGAGGGTATGTGGGTGAGGTTGCTCAGAAGATTCTTTTTCTCCACAACCACTTAATGTAATAGCCATATCCTTTGACGAGTACCATATTTTGGGACTCAGAGTATTGCCCCGTATGTGTTGAATGAAGCGCATAAGAAGGACTTTGTTGCATCGATATCGTCGGCTTGATGGTATCGAAACTACCTCTTGTATTTCCAACTCATCAGTTTCCTACTTGCATCATTTTCGTATTGGTGTCTCTTTTTCCTTTCCTACTATGCTTTTTTTTAAAAAAGATATTTGCCGTGTGTTTAAAAAACACATTATCCCACTTAATGACTTTTGACTTCATACATGCCTATAACAGTGTCACAGCTTTTGTATATGGACGCCAAGTATGGGCTCGTAAAGTTTGTCTCAGGGTTCCATTATAGTAAATCAGGTTTCACGTGTCTTCACCATTTTCCCCTGTTCTCATGTTATTTATAACTTGGAATTAGTGGTCTTAATCAGGCTGCAGAAATATCTATGAGCAAGGGGGTAGAGGTGGACTCCCTATAAGATGCGTGCATTCATGACTCTCAGCACACTGCATCTGATTGCAAGGCGCTTGTTCTTTTTTTCTTAGACCTCCTTTCTTTATGATAGATCACAATAAAGAGTAAATTTATTTAAAAAGAAACATTCCTTTTCGACTTCAAGCTTTGTTCCTTTCGCAGACCTGTGAACCTGTATCGAACTGTTTAGCCATTTCATTGTATAATATTCCTGAATTACAAAATTTTTTACATTTCTGTATCATTTTATTCTGCTTTATCGGATCTTTTTTTCTTTTTATCAGATTTTTCCTATTCAGAAGGGAAAATCAAACCATTTTGGAGGCAATAATGAAGGGAAACACGTCCAGCACACTTCACAGGAAGCGTATGGTATCAAAGCCGCATCTCAGTGACGTCCCTACCACCTATTTCCGCACAAGAAGGAATAGTGACATGGCAGGCCCTCCTTTGATTCAGAATTCAACTGAGGATCGCCTTGCCATCTGGAAGTTTCCCTCCTTTCCAATTCAGAAGAGAGCTCCCAAGCCGTATCTGGAGGCCTGTGCGAATATAACCCCGGAGAGCCGAAACTGGAATGCCGAGTTTCAGTTAGCGTGGGAGATGGATGACTCCACTCTTGACCTCGCCGAACGCCGTAAAATTCAACTTTATAAAATCGAGTCCGAATTCAAAGCCGAGGCCATGGCCATTGTGAGAAAGATTGTCCAATTGGATGATGACATGCCACACGAGTTGCCCAAATTTGTGCAGTGTTTTCGCGTAGGAAACATATTCTTTCGTGTGCTTCCTGACAGCCGTTCTGGAAAAAATTACATCGATTCGTTGCGTGGCATTTTGCAGAGTAACAGTCATCTGCTCACGGTGCCTCTTTCGATAATGTTCTACTATCGTGGCATGCCAGTGCTGGCGCAGGCGCTGGTCCCCATGCCACCAACCCCCGAGCGTCTTTACGGCCACGATTCGATCAACGACAGCGAGGTTGAGGGCGAGTTGGTATTCATCGCTGACGCTCTCCACATACCCTTCTCCTCCAACAAGACCTTGGAGGTGTACAGGTCACTAGATGGGCGATACTATGTGACGAACTGCAATGCCACCCAGATCCCACTTTTCACTGGCGACACCATCATGAAGCGGCAGGAAATGTTGCGGGTGTGCTGCTGCGTTACGGAGGGCGTCGCGAACACACTTGAGGTGCTGGACCGCGCTACAGTGCAGCACGCTATTGTCTCAATCTGCTCTGATCCGAATCGCCCTCTGACCGATAGAATGAGCCGTTTGTGCATGCTACTACACGAATATGGTGTGAATCTTTGTCTTCTAAAGCAGGTGGTCTGCCGATTACAGATGAACGAACGATACCGTGATTCCTATGTTAGTCCAGTCATGGATGTGGTGTGTTGCGAAATGCTCTGCCGTACTGTAAAGCAGGAGTTCTATATTGCAGTTCAGGGGAAGCGCATTGCATATGATGAAAATGAGTTGGCCAAAACCTTATTCACAAACCTTTCGCATGTGTTCAAGGAGAAAGGCCTTTTCCAGGCCACCTTCCTCGACTTGGTAGCTCGCAAATACGGTATCGTCGATGAGGACAATGGCTTTATTGAGGTGCTAACGACAAAGCGCCATGTCTGGCGCGCCTTAATCGTCGAGCGAGTCTGTAGGATGCTCGGTGCGCATGGCAAGGGGACTAGTGGCGAGATAGAATGGGCCGCATTTGCTAACTGCAGCGTCATTCCTCAGCTTTTAGACCCGAAGGCGGCTATGAATCTCGCCAAAGTATATCGCACCATAAGAACAGACGACGCGCACTGGTACGCGTTCTGCCTTCCGCTTTGCTGCACTGTGGCACGGTGGAGGGGTGACTTTAACGAAGCTGTGAGGATCGCAAGCGAGGTGGTGATGGCGAGCCGTGGGCGAAAGGGCCCAGGTGAATTTATACTATGGCGGATGGAGAAAAATCTATGCGGTGTGTGCATCAGTAGCCCGCAGTCAGAGCACGTGCGGGAGGGTCGACTTCGCTTCCCCGCTGTGATCGCAGCCTACGAACGACTAAGCTGCCCCACAACGCAGGGACGGCGCCACATTGAGTACGGCTTTTTGTTACTGAAGTCTTGTGAGGACTTTCCCCCTCATGACTTGCTATCTCTACGTGATTGTGTGGAGGAATGTATCATGCACTTCAATGCTGCGATTCGCAAGCTCCCAACTTTTCTTTGTTCTGAGCACGGCGCATGGCTCCACCTCCAGCCATACATCGGCTTGTTTCGCTGCAAGCAGTTGCTGCCTTCTTGTTCCGTCGACACCCAATCGTTGGTAGCTCATTCAATCAGGCTTAGTAATATTAGCTGGGTCTCTGACCTCTTTATTCGACATCTTTGGGCGGTTGGGCAGCAGCTGAAGCAGGAGGGTCTCTACGAAGGGTCCATCGAAGTCCTTCTCACAGCTATTGGACTGTTTAAAAAGAGACCAATCTTGGCCGCAGACCTACCAGCCATTCTGTTGGACACAGCAGACGTCTACCGTTCCTGGAGCCTGGAAAAATATGGGGCTGAGTGTCTGAATTTGATAGAAGAGGCGGAAAAGTACACGGTGTTGGGCTATGGGCACAATAGTATCTCTCATGCCGCTGTTCTCAATAAGCGTGGAGAAGTAGAAATTGAATTGAAGCACTATGACACGGCTGAGGATGTCCTGCGTGCAGCTGGAGAGGTTTTCACAGCTGCTAAGGTGGCCCAGGAAGACCCAGAGTATGTTGCCTATCTCCAAAACTTGAACATCCTGCAACAGATCATGAGGTCGAGGGATGCTGCAGTGATTTCGACAGAGTCGTCCGAGAGGGGCATTCTACGGCGCTACTCGTTCCTGAAGTGTGGCCTTGAAGATAAGGGGTGGTTGCCATGGGATGATATCCGCCCACTAGAGGATGAAATCTTCATTAAGTTAGCCCGAGAACGGGCTCGAGCCGAGGCCGATGTGCCTAGAACAAAGGAACTCGAAGCGAAGATGAGGGCGCGAGTGGGGGAGCTATTCCGTCAACTCACCGAGAGTAATACCCTGAAGGAGTACCCCTTTCTCCCGTCTCAGGCAACTAACGGCGTCTACATTGAGAGTCTTGCGCTGAATGTGGACCGACACTTTCAATCGATCGTGCAACAATGGCAAGCCTCGAAGTCATCAGCAAGTCAACGGGAACTTATTGAACGAAAAGCTGTTTTGTATGTCCAACACCGAGCAGTCGCGGAGAAGATGCAGCGTGCTTACATTCACCGCTTGGAAGAATACTTCATAGACCGTTATGGTCGTTTTGTGAACCTGCTCTTACCATTGCATTGGGAGCATGTCCTGACGGATACACACTTCATGAAGCTTGCAGAAAAGCGGCAAAGGCTGATTACCCATAAAGCCACAAAGGAGGAGTTACGCCACGTAATGTCCGAGATCGACAAGAGGGTAGATATTCTCGAGCGGAACTCGTGGTCTTGGCATTCTGGGCTGAGACAGTTCGTGCCGCACTTGCTTCTTTTTCGTACTCCATGGGAAAAATTGGCGCAGAATATTTATCTGCGCGATTTGCTAAATATTTATCAGTATGTGATTGACACGGGTGAATCGGCGCGTAGAATGGGGTTCATCGAGCACGACATCGCCGTTACGGCTCACGCCATTTGTGAGCGGTACTGCGTGGCCAACCTTCAGCGACACGTTGACAACGAGGAAATACATAACCGCTTTCCCACCCTCCGGGAGAGGATTCATCATCAGGATCTCAGCCGATTGTTTGAAGATCCACTCATGCCTTGGAGGAGGAGCTTACATATTTGTGATGCCCCACCGGACTGGATCGCTGCACAAATCCAGCGAACGGCGCGCACCAACTGGGATTTGGATCGCATAAACGAAGCTTATCCTGGCGCTAATGGAATTGCCGACCTTTTCAACCTCCAAGATTGCCTTCCCCAGACAGGGGACTCATTTTATATGTACTTGTATAAGGAGTGCCAGCGTGCCTCTAACGAGAATCGTGAAATGGACGCAAAGTCTATTGAGGCAAGAATGTATTACCGATTGATGCACTTAGCGTTGCACATTGACAAAGCCAGAGCAGGCTATTATAGACACCGTGCGTACTTGGAAGGGGCATTCCCCTACCTTCTGAGGCGCCACCACGGCATTCATATTAGTTCCATACCGTTCCTGTTTGACGAGCATTTCAATGCACTACAACAACAGCATAACAGCCTCCTAGTCGGTGTGAAAAAGACTGACGGCGTTTCATTGGAGTGCATTGAGGACGAGATGAATACTTTAGTAAGCTCAATTGCAGCATCTATGCTTCGGGAGGGAGAAAAGCAGGCGGAACTATACACCTCCTTGCAACTTCCTCTGGACAATGTATTTTGCATGGATTTGAATCTAGACATGAAACCCTTCTGTGAGGACATTTCTCAACATTTAGCAGCGGAGCAGCGGGACTACGTCGAGAGCTTGTGCAAAGAGGTGCACACATACCAACTAGATCATGCAGTCAATCTTGAAAACGTGCTTGAACAGTACCCATTTCTGCCCCTAGTCCCAGCTGACGGAATCTTCCTCAGTGAGCTGAATTTGCATTACTTTTTGAGCGAGAACAGACTTATTCTAAATGAGTTTAACGATCAACGACACAGCACTTTCAGCACAAGATCAACATATGACGAAACTGAGCTCGACAGGATGGAAAATCAAATTGTTCACCTAGTTCAAGAAGAAGCAGGCAAAAGCATTGGTAAGCGCGGACTTATTGTCACAATGTGTCCTGGAGCTCCAGAAAGTATTCGTGGTGTCAAACTTGTGCATCTTGATCTAGGAAATATTTTATCTGCACACTCACC